GGGGGGGGGGGGGCAGAGAGGAGCTTGTCAAGCTGAAGAAAGATCTGGCTTGTCAAAGCGAAGAAGTTGAAAAAAGAAGATTCGGCTATGTTGTAAAACAGAACCAAGCAAGATACACATATCACAAGCCGCTTGGTCGGCTTGCTTAAAGAGAGAAGAAAATAGGATAGGTAAAAAATAGTAAAATACAACTGTCCCCCATATGAGGAGAAGACAGATGTATTTTTTTTCCCTTTAATTAAAAAGGGAAAAAAAGAACCAAGCAGCACATAGGTTTTCCTTTTTTTTTTCCGGCCCTTCCTTTGAGAGAGAAGGAACTTGTCAAAGTCAAGCTGAAAGAAAGACTGGACCAGACATTACCCAGCGTAATCCAAAATTGTTTGACACATTTCCTGCTGACTCAGCCTGACAAGTTGAATCTTCAGAAGAAACCAAGAATCAAGTCAAGCTGGGGCTTCAAGCCTCACTCTCAGGACCAGGTGGCACTGGTGCTACCATGTTCATCCTAGGAAAGCATGAACATGACCATGGTTATGACCAGGTTCATACTTCTCCAAGCACGAACAAAGCACCAGTGGGCCTGTCGTATGTTGTGTTTCCCCAAGACCACAGACCGGTTAGACACGCACATCCATCCTTTTTTTTAATTTTTTCTTTTTTTTTAAGCAGTGGTATATCCTCCCATTGAGGAGCAATCAATGTGACACATCCATCTCTTTGTCTTTTCATTTCGACCATTTATCTGTACCCTTGGTATGACACAGAGAAGAAGATTAGTGTGGGCCCTGCGCATTCAAGGAAGGTGCACAAAACGAGAAATGGTACATTTTTTTTGCTTGTGCCGAAGTTCCGAGTCTAAGGGAAAACTCACACAGCGATGGCATAGCAGCAAAATCTGCGAATTTTGCTATCCCGATTTTGCTGAAATGCCACCCCGCCCGGTCACATAGCGGCAGCAAATTACAAAAGACACAACCCCGACTTTCTGGCAATTGCCAAAATGGTGCCTCGCGTGGTCACACGACGTGAGGCCCAAATCCTTCAATTTTTTTTTTTCAACAAAGTTCGCTTCGAATTTCCTTTCACTAGCTCTTGAACTGAAAAAACAATTTGCTACCACCTCCAGAGGTGGTAGCAAAATGCCCTTCCCCGCGGCCCGCCAGGCCGCTGACATTTGATACCCCATTTGCTGCTTTTGCCACTTTCCCTGCCTCGTGCGACTGGCCCAACCATCAAACTTTAGCTATTTTGTCATAAAAGGCCCTTGGTAGAGTGAGTAGGCCCTAAGTCAGCGCCAGTGTGCTAACTTCGATTCACATGCTCCGTTTCCAAACAAGAAAAAAGGGAAAAAGAAAGAAAACAGAAAGAAAACAGAAAAGAAAACAAAGAAAAGAAAGGTCATTCATCAAACCACCAAGTCGGAACCGGCTGCTTAAGCTTATAAGCCTCAGCATAGTCGGGGCATACTCACACTAGGACTTTTTCTACTCAGCTCTGGACGTTATTCCAGTCTGGTCGTAATTGCAGTCAGATACATTCAGGGAAGTACTAGTGTGAGTGCGCCCTCAGATCGGAGAGGACCACTGCATGTCGGTGTTTTCCCGAGTTAACCGGCTGGCTGGAAAGATTCTTTCTCAAACTGGGCCATGCTGGAACGGGCTACCTGAGCTAATCAGCCTCCGCTAAGTTCCCAGGCAGCCAGACCCAGCTAACCCTGGTTAATTACTCTTTTCATTAATCGACGAAAACGAGGGAAGGGCTAGAAGGCCCAGAACAGTAGGTGAAAAACAAAAGGCAACACATTTAAAAAACAAGGCGTGAACCCCCCTCCCACCCCAACCCCCCCCCAAAGTAAATGCTGCTGCTCATACTTCCTAATAATTACACTGTCATGACTATACACTTACCTGGTCAGGATTGACGGCAGCTCTTGGTTTTTCCCTCTTCCTCCTTTTAATAGGCTGCTTCCTTTGCTTCGGTTTGCAATCGAACAGGCCCACCCTGTTTGCAAAGTCATAGGCATCACACTGTCAATCAATCAATATCCATGATAGAATCATTTCTCCCCGTTGTTCACAGAGGAGATAGGCGGAACAATCAATGTGCTTTCCCGGACAGAAGGTTTTGCTTTCCAGCAGAGAAAAATGAACTAGCTTCCCCTTCATCACAGAGAGATAAGCAGAACAATCTGCTTTCCCGGACGGAAAATTTCGCTTTCTTGCAGAGAAAATTTAGCTAAGTTCAAACTTTAAACCACCAGCACACCCGGGGCTGTTTCGCCAAACCGACAGGGCCCCCTGCGTGCCGAAATTTGCCAAAACGCCAGCTCGGCGTTTTCCTTTTCGTTTTGGATGGCGGCGGGGGCCATTCCAGTCCGGTTGCCCTGAGCCCCAAAAGGCCCCAAAATTTCCCGTGGTGACGACGAGTTTTTTTCTCTGCAAGGCTGGGGCCGTGTACTAGTGGCTTAAGAGAGGGACTATATAACATGTTTGGGGCTTCACTCGCAAGGAACAAAGGAGGAGGGAAAGCCAAATAAGTCGAAGGGACAATTGCTTTTCTCCTTTTTGTGGTAGTCGCTTTACCTGTTATTTGCAGTTTCCTGTGGGTAATGATTACCGTCCAAGCGATCTGATTAAACCCCCAGTACCTTTGAGCTGCCCCTCCCAAACGTATCCGCAGCCAGTGCCCAACGCTGTGGGAGGGACAGCCGAAGAAACTGCACATAGAGCTCTCTTTGGGAACGAACAAAAAAAGAAAAAAAGAAAAAAGAAGGAGATGAGTGGCGAGGATCAACCTGGCACCACTACTTACTAATTGAGCAAAATGAGAAGGAATCTTCCGCTAGAAGTGGGAAAATACACCGCCATATTGTTTTTCTTCTATTGATTTCATAACTTCTCGTAAGTACTGGAGTGGGGCCTCTCTCCGCTGCTCGCAATTTGGACCGAAGGCAAAAAAAAACATGGCGGTGTATCTTCCCTCTTCTAGCGGAAGATTCATTCTCATTTTGCTCATTTGGTGAGCGGTGGAGCCATGACCAGTTTGTCAGTACATCGGGCATTTTGGAAACAGGCTGTCAGTGAGGACAAAATCTCCTCTGTACTGACAAACAGGACCTCAGCGCCCTGCTATCCAAATGAGCAACATGAGAATGAATCTTCCACTTGAAGTGGCACCGCAATTTTTTATTTTTTTTTCTTTTGTGCCTTTTGTGAATAGTGGAGCTCACGCGATGCACAGAGGACAAAAAGAACGGCGGGGTGAATGCTAGGGCAGGGACTGTTAGGTAGAAAAAGCCTATTGAGGGAAGATACTGCGCCCTTCTTTTTTTTCTTCTTCGTTTTTTCATGTCACGAGTAGTGGAGCAGGCCCCGAAGCTGTACCGACCCTGTGAAGCCACCTCCCGGCATGCTCAGAGGTGGGAAAAAAGGCAGCGCAAGGTACTGACGGTGTAAGGGCTGTGCTGGGCATAGGTATAGGGCCAGGAATAGGATTACGTACGGTCTTAGGCATAGGTGTAGTCATAGGACTAGGATAAGGTCCTGTTCTTGGATAGAGACGGAGTCAGTCCGGGGTGCTGTTCAGAAGGGATAATTGTTTTTTTGTCTTCTTTGAGGCGACTGATAAAAATAGATTTCAAAAAAAGTGGAAGGACCACAAGTCTGTGTCCCCGTTTTTCTGCATCCAGAGCCGTCAAATACAGGCTTAACTTCGCTTAAGTCGAAATTTTCAAAATAAAATTAAATAAAACAAAAGTTTGAAGGGACATTAGCAGCAAGAGGCCAAAAGGTACAGTGTCAATTTAAAGACACTTTCAAAGGTTACAGTCAAGAGTCACGGTCCAAAAGGCAGAGGACACGGACACAGTCAACAGACACAGTCATAGATCAAGAGACACAGTCAGGGGTCACGAGAGACGGTCAGAGTCAGAAAGCAAAGTCAGTAGTAAAAAGGTACCCCGAAGAGACATCAACAAAGGGTTGTGTCCAATGCCAAAGTCAGTCCCAGAACTTGGGTCCCGGTTGCAGCAACATTTCAGGAAGGGACTGATACCCAGACCAGGCAATCGGGTACCTGCCCAGGTACCAGAGGCTGAAGGCTGAAGTGAGGCCAAAACGAGCAATGCAGCACTGTATAAGGAGTGGCCGAGTTCAGTTCAGGGGGGGATTCTTTCACGAGTTGGGTGGAAGTGCTACTCGGCTACTTGTGCCTATCGTGCGCTGGAGAAGGGCGCTGGAGGTCTGCTAGGCGCCTGGAGGAGAAGAGGGCCAGGGAGACAGACGCCCAGAATAGAGTAGACTAGGACAGCCTAGGGTATCCAGGTAGATCATAGTAGAGTTTAGTTAGTAGAGAGAGACAGAGTGAGAAAGAGAGAGAGCGAGAGAGGGAGAGAGGGAGAGAGAGAGAGAGAGTGCATGCATGTGAACAGTCTTCCAATGTGTAAACTACACTGACAAGTTGAGTTTGGACTGGCGCTGATGCGCCTGTGCCAGAGAACAAGTGATGTAATTGAGGCACTCTCCAACAACTCTTCAAGTATGTGGATGACGCTGTTGATATAATTGGGGCACTCTTCATAATTTCGAGTTTCCAGTGTGTTATGTGATCTCTCGCATTATTGTATGTATGCGCATGAGTAAAGTTGAGACAGGATCGTTGCAAAAGGCGTCTTTCTCTAATGTCAGAACTGCACGCATGCAATCCTCCACAAAGTTCTCTCTCATCTCCCTCCCTAATTCACCTCCTCCCCCTCATCTCCCTCCCTCTCGTTCATGACCCTCAGCACTCATCTTCCGCCCTGCTGTGTTGTGGCGTTGTTTCCATTACCAACACAAGTGGACCCCGCAAGAGTTGGAGAGCTGCAAGCAGGCGGAAGAAATGTGAAATTCGGGCAGCGCATAAACCCGACATGGAAGAAGAGATGTTGGAGGATAACCGGAAACTGGGGGATCTCTCTCTCTCTATCTATCTATCTATCTATCTATCTATCTATCTATCTATCTATCTATCTATATATCTATCTATCTCTCGCGAGTGTGTGTGTGTGTGTGTGTGAGAGAGAGAGAGAGAGCATGCCCTGAAGAAACGACTGTGTGAACATGCCCTATGAAACAACTATGTCTCTGTATTCGAACAGGCAGATCCGAGTAGATGTATTTAGCCACGATCATAACGTCCAGATGTGAGCAAAACAGCAGCCGTGACAATCACGGCCGATTCAAACATGGCAAATTCGAGTGCATGCATCTAACCACCATACACGTCCAGAAACAACCAAAATAGCAGTCATCATCATCATCATCTCTCTCTCTCTCTCTCTCTCTCTCTCTCTCTCTCTCTCTCTCTCTCTCTCTCTCTCTCTCTCTCTCTCTCTCTCTCTCNTCTCTCTCTCTCTCTCTCTCTCTCTCTCTCTCTCTCTCTCTCTCTCTCTCTCTCTCTCTCTCTCTCTCTCTCTCTCTCTCTCTCCCCCTCCCTCGTGCGCGCGCTGCCCTCCGTCGTGTGTGTGTGTGTGTGTCTCCACCATCATCTTTTCCTTTCCCTCTTGCGTGTCGACCATCGACCATGATCATCTTATTCTCCCTTCCCTTGTCCGCCATCAACTTCTCTTCCTTTTCCTCTTGCTCGCCCACCACCATGCACCACCATCATCTTCGTTTCCTTTTGCCGATTGACCGTCATCTATCATCATGTGCTTCTCCTCTTTGCTTGTCTGTCATCTTCTTTCCTTTCTCTTATCCTTCTGTTTTTTCCAACATCATCTCCTCTTCCCTTTCCTCCTGCTTGTCGACCATCATCCACCATCATTCGCCATCGTCTACTTTTCCTTTTGCTCGTCAACCATTATCTCATCTTCTTTTTTCCTTTTGCTTTAGCTTGTCTGCCGCCATCTTCTTCTTCTTTGGTTTGCTTTTCCTTTTACTTGTCCACCACCACCATCTTTCCCTTTGCTTCACCAACCATCCCCGTCCTTTTCCTTTTACTTAGTCACCAAGTGACACCAACATCATTTTAGCTTCTCTTCCTTTTCCTCTTGGTTACCCAATTATCCTCTTCTTCTGCTTTTGTTTGTCCCCCATCATCTGATCTTCTTCTCCTTTCTCTTTTGTTACTTGCTCACCCATCTCCTCCTTTCTTTTCTTTTTCTTTTGGTTTGACAAAGAATTCCCGCTTCCGGGAAGCCGCCGTTAGGCGCGATCACCAAAAAACCATTGACGCCAGTTGTAATTAATTACGATATTTTTTTGTCGACAACCAGCGAAGCTGTTTTTATTTGAGTAATTACACCTATTCCGGATGAATCAAATCATATTTGATTTGACCTTCGGAAAATCCATATACCCTTCAAATTCACAAATCCCATTGGTTGAAAAGAATCACAGACTTTTTGGCTTTCTGAGCATTTTGTCATTTTCATTTAGGTCCTTCTGGATGTTCTGCTTACATTGTCGAGGCACCTGGGGCCATACTCATGCAATCCAATGTCAGCTTTCCCAAGGCAGACCAGTCAAACCCGTCCGGCTGAAGCGGTTCGTCGATATTTGCTGGAATTCCTGCATTGCCAAATTTCTTCCGCAGCCGGAGAATGAAATCGGTGATACTATGCGTAGAGAGATTGCGTCGCAAAGCAGCCGCTGTTTCATAGTTGTAGCTTGCTATCTGATTGAGCAACTCTGCATCTGCCACCTGCTCTCTCGGCTTCTGAACTGCAAAACAAAAACAAGAGAGAAATGAGAAAAGAAATGCGTACAGTGAGAAATCACTCAAATCAGCATCCAAAGAAATGGAAAAGCATGACAAAAAAGCCAAAACCATACCATAAAAAACAAAGACAACCAAACACCTAAATCAGTCCACTGATGCTTCTTTAAACCACCAGTGCATCCGAAAAAGGAGATTGAGCCTCTCCTAAAAAATAGGAGGCCATGAACCGCCGATTCATTTTATGGACGGTCCATGGCCTCCGAGTTTTTAGGAGAGGCTCAATCTGCTTTTTCGGATGTACTGATGGTTTAAGAAAAAAGAACATTATGCCAACCAAGAATCCCAATTCTAAACACTTTCATGTGTGTGCACCATTCAGATGCACTATATCATTCATGACATGCACGAGAAGCGAATCACAAATCACAGCGCAGTGACACACATGCACTTAAAGAAGTCACACATACATCATGAATTGCCAAAATTGCCGAAATAGAGTTAAAACCAGTGCTGGTCCCTGGATGGACAGGGGGACCTGCGACCGACCGGGAGCCTACCGGTCCGACCGGGCGGTTCACTGGCCCGGCAGGCCCTCGGTTCGATCGGGCGCACAAATTTTGGGG